GAAAATCAGCATTTGTATGTAGCAAAAGTCTATAGGGCGCCACTGTAAATTAAACACTGCCCAAGTCTCTACCGAATCAAGGGTTGTCTCATTGTTTACAAAATTTAAGCATAGTGGCAGGTTATATATTCTTCGGCTTTCTGTATTCGTCTGCCGCAGCAGACCACATTTGATTTATGTTGCTGAAACCTTTTCGGAATATGGCTTATTTTGTAGTCTGTTTCTTATCTGTTCGTGTCTTATCATCTGAAATATCTTAAATATAAGCTATATTCTATTTAAAATACTCGTTTTTTATGGTAATACCTAATGTTTTTTTGGTATTAAAATTACAAAACCGAAAAAATACCGAATTACAAAATCCTTCCGGCATTCTATGCTCTAACTTCCAACAGGTGCTTGCGTGGAATATAGTTGTCTATAAAAACTCGTAATGTCCTATATTGCAGCCTTAGTCGAAATGATGCTAACGCTGTCAGTTTTCAGCTTTGTCAGTTGACTTTGCCCAGTACAGTTCAAACAACAGTTTTCTTCCGAACACTTTGATTTGGAGCGTTTGTTAAACTCGATAGCCCCTTTGATACGATCCGTATCAAATTAACGAAGATCGCTCGTCAGGGTCTACGATATCTGTCTATTTATTCGCCGGTAATGACTTGTATCTCCTGAATTCTGTGGTCTCATTTAGTTCAGCTGTTTTATGAGTAGGATAGATTTGTCAGAAAGTTTATTTTGGTAGTGTGGATTTTAAAACCTTACCGTACGGCTTCTAAGTTACGAGTTGAAGCTCCCGGGGTTTTGGAGTTGTGCAGGCATTGGTTAGATCGGAGCGTAAACTATCAATTGAGTAATTATTAGCTTAATGTTGATATTCAGTGTGCCTTGTAACAGCCAGTGAATCTTTTCGTTTTGATGGCACTGATAACAGAGACATCATTGAATATTTGCTTTTCGTCGAAATGATAAAGTCGATCTCTTCTACTTTGCCGTCCAGGATCCGGACTGACAGAACGCCATAGGACAAATGTTGGTAGATGTTAATGAAAAGGGTAACCTCTACATGATGAATTCATTCTTCACAAAACCCTTAAATTGAAAATGGATATCCCGGTCCATATTCATTTAAAGGTTTTTTGTCACATGGCGTTCTTTTGCCCAACTCCAAATTGCCCCACTCTCAACTCATCAACGCAACGCTTCGCCAACCTTGCGTTGAAATCCCCTATCACAATCGTGTTGTGAATTTTGTGATCTCCTTATACATAGCCTCCACGCCTTCATCTGGGTGAGTAGAGGTAGGAGCACAAACCTGTACGACATTCATCAAATATCGTTTCGTTTTTCCGAGTAAAGTTATGCTACACTGGTCTACACACTTCCGATGGTGTTCGATCACGTTGTTAACAAGGGACTTGTCTACGATAAACCCGACACCGCCTAGAGATTTTCTGTCGCCCTCTCGGTAATATAGCAAGTTACTGGAATCGAGGATTATCGAGTCCTCTCCTTCTCTTCGACTTGAGATAAACCAATAATGTCACAGCTTAAATTACTAATGTCTTCTCCTCACTCCGCTCCGCTTCGCGTCTCTCCCCAGTATATGCGTGTTGTAGGTAGCCAGGTCCAGTCGTCGAAGGTGGTAGCTGATTCTTTCCCGGGGATTCTTAGTACCTTTTGCCCCGCCGCGGCGCCGTTACCATAGCTGCTACCGGGCTAGGACTAAGAGGCTGCCAGGGACTAGAGGCCGATCTTTAATTGTGTTTAACATCTTAAGGGGTTATTGCCATAATCGACGCTTGGCAGGCGGGACAGCGATCGCAGTACAGCCAAGAAGAAAATTTATTGTATTTGAAGATATTTTTTGTATTGAGTGTTACAACTATTATCTAACATAGTTTACATTATTATAATATTTACTAGTAAATATTCTTAATTTGTGTTAGGGCGCTGGGGCGTATAGATAATAGGGCAAAGGTTGTCAACACGATAAGACTGTTTGCCTGCAACATCGAATGTATTTATAGTACAATATTTTAAATGTGCAAATAAGCATTACCGGGTTTATTTTTAGTAGCAACATTGGCTAGATCCATGATGGATCTAGTAAGTACTTATTTTCTTTTTTGATCTTATAAGTTATGAAACGGGTCTAACGGGAACTTTGTTTCTTCTCATTATGTTTTATTTACAATGTATCAAATCGGACAAGATGTAGGTAATGGGAATCCCTTAGTACATTCGAAACTAAGATTCCATTTATAAAATCATTATTCCGAAAAAAGTATCCGGAGATATAACTAGATAAATTTTCCCGGTTTCTAACGTTTAATTTCGGCTGTACCACTGAACTGAATTTTAAAAATATACACATTCGACGCAGAATTTTATTTTCTATGAACAAATATTGAACAGAATAAAATTTTCCACGGAACGTACCGTTTTCGAGCGACAAGCAAAAAACTTAAAAAGAGCAAAAATTTTGCTTCGTGCATGATCTTTTTTGGCTTCCAAAAGTTGTGCTCACCTGCTAGGATTACGTAAATTTGGATTACATACATTAAGGATCAAATTAAGGTATTTAAGGTAACGATTTCCAGCATGCCGTAGATAAGTTTTCATGACCTATGATGATTGAAATTAAAAAGCAATGTTAATTATTAAATATCGAGCCATTACTTTTAAATGGGATTGTTGTATGCTGCAACAATAAAATAAATAGGAACACATTGTTTCTGCTTGTTTGTAATTATGTGGTTAGGTCAGTCACTTGAGATAAACCGCAAGGGAATGTACTGTCAGCAATAAAAAGTACTTATGAACTTATATGAAATATGATAAGAGTTCTTGGACTACTCAAAACAAATGTCTAGCTAGTATAACAAAGATTTTATGCACTTTCTTGCACTTCTTCTTTTAAAATATTCTCGTTCCTATTAATTGTTTGAGATATATATATATACATATTTATAGTTACGTGAAAAAGGTACATAGAGAGCTTAAGGCGACTAGATTATTGGTAATAGTGTTTATTTAAAATCCACTTTAACTTTGTATATATATAAATAAATATATATATAAATGTAAATAAGATTAATGATTAATAATTAACCTATGCTCAGCAGTGGGCGTCATACGGCTGACATGATGATGATGATGACGATTAATGGGGCTACATTACACAGTGGCAAAGATGCCTATTTAAGTAGTTACAAAGTTAAAGTGGATTTTTAATAAAAACTATTACCAATAATCTAGTCGCCTTTAGCTCCATGTACCCTTTTCACGTAACGGATAGTAGTTAAAGTAAAGCTAGACGTTTTTAAATTAAGTCTTAATAGTTGCCTATCGAAATAGCCTACTTGAGTCTATTAGTTCAATAGTCTATCAATATTAAGTCATACGATGTTTGTATGACATTTACAATGATAAATATTGACGGCGCCGCGCTGGTGCGGCGCGTTGCGACCCGGCGGCGGCGGCGCAACGAACAGAACAAACGTTCCGTTGCGGAGCAAGTGCCCGCTTCGAAGGACAATTTTTTGTATAATATTTACCTCTACTATTTACACATGCATAAAATTATTCTCTCTCGTTTATTAATATGATGTAAGTTACCTTTATTTTTTTTATTTACTGACATCAAATTAAATGACGACAAGGACAGAATTATTTGAGCTCTTTATGAATTACTAATATTCACGTTATTTGCGCTGTGTTGCTATTTAAAAATACATTTCATTTTCTTTACTGTACGAATTTTACCTAGCGGCGGAGCCATATAAGTCAAGATAAAATAACCGAGCTATAATAATAGCGTGATTTCGTATTTTCAATATGAATTAACGTATAAGTTCATGTTTCCCTATAAATCAATATAAATCAAGTCTCAATTATCATGGAATCTTAAAAATATAATCAATTGTTATCTCCAGTCATGCTGCCCATGTAAATGGTAGCCTAATTAAGATGGACACAGGAAATTGTGAGTCACACTCGTCACATTTATCAACTTGGACAGCTTATCACAAGAGACCGTTTTATGTGACCGTTGGGCTTTCTAGGAAATGGACAAATTACACGGTTCTCTTACCTATACAATTTATACGTAATATCGGGCACATTTTTATTATATTACTTATATAAGATTAACTGGGTTCAGGTCCATAGACCCAATTACAATGTATTGTGTGTATTCATAAGATGATATTTTATTTACAAAGCTAAGTGCACGCACGATATAGTTATTTATAATAATTAATATAAATAAATAAATATTTCCAACACTCACACCAATTAACCAAGCCCCAAAGTAAAGCACTATAGGCTTGTGTTATGGATACTGGGGTAACGGATAGAATACATATACTGTACATATATAAGTATATTTATATAGAAATACATATTAAACATCCATGACTGGAGTACAAACGTATTCATCACAAAAACATCTGATCCACCGGGTTTCGAACCCGGGACCTTTCGAGTCGGCGACACCATGAAACCCAGCGTACAAACCACTCGACCACGGAGGTCGTCAATAAGCGTTATTTTAGTAATAATCGTAGCCCATCCTCGACAAGTTAGCAATAATGCTTTATTTCTTCTCCACACAATCCCATGCACAAAAAAATACTAATTGATTTATTTAAGGCAAGATTCTGGAAAGACTGGTATCTGAACTAGGCCGCAGCCTGTACCCCAGAAGGCAGGGACCCACCACATAAATACTCAAAGGAAGAAAATTTTGCCATTGGCATTTTTAGCTAGCGTCAGTTTCCAATAAATATAGAGATACCAGAATCAAGTTCACCCGGATTTATTCGTATATGTTTGCACTTTTATGACATTTGTCCGGTTTTCATAATATTTTACCTTTTTAGCTTAGTACTTGCACAATAAAAGTAACAGTTTAAGAAGAAGAAATGTCAATTTTTAATATCTTAGTAGGTATGGACTACCAAGAAAAACCGTACCAAAACAAGATTTTTTTATTGTTTCAGCGTTGGTTGGCGCGTTGACGATGGGAACCACATTTCTCTTATCACCAGTATCTGGAGTGCTAACAGGACTGATGGGGCTTCGTTTGACCGCTGTAGTTGGAGGCACAATTGCCACTGCTGGCCTGCTCATAACTTCCTTCGTCGTTGACCATATAAACGCTCTTTCTTTTACTTACGGAATTATGTACGGTATAGGAGCATCATTCGCATATACCCCGTCTCTGGCAGTTTTGGGTCATTATTTCAAAAAGTATTTAGGCTTTGTGAATGGTGTCGTTACCATTGGCAGCTCTATTTTCACAATTTTTATGCCCATCATAATGGATGTTATGATAAAAAATTACGGGCTTCCGTGGATGTTCCGATTATTAGCCTTATTTACTTGTGGGATTGCTTTTTGCGGTTTGTTGTTCAATACAAACTCTTTGACTACTGCTGAAAAACCTATTCGAGAAAATAAAAATATCAGCTCACTAATGAAATCAATTTTCTGTGTTGACATTTGGAAAAACAAAAAATATAGGTTGTGGGCCACATTCTTGCCCATAGCTTTATTCGGGTATTTCGTCCCATATGTTCATATCAAATCATTCATACAAGAACGCTTTCAAGAAGTTTCAAATAAAAATTTACCTTTACAATGCATAGCAATTACTTCAGGAATAGGAAGGCTAGTTTTTGGGTACTTAGCTGACAAACCAGGAATTGATAGAATATTTTTACAACAGATTTCATTCTATGTAATTGGTGGCCTCACTATTATACTGCCTTTTGTTCAATCTTTCCCGTTCTTGGTAGTGATTTCATTAGGAGTAGGATTGTTTGATGGAGCTTTTATTTCATTGATTGGACCTATAGCCTTTGAAATTGTGGGAGGAGCATACGCAGCACAAGCTATAGGGTGTTTGTTTGGTCTTGCTGCATTCCCGCTGTCGATAGGTCCAGCGGTAGCTGGCTATCTTTATAGTTTAAACGAATCTTATACCTTGCCATTCGTTTTGGCGGGTATCTCTCCAATAGTCGGAGCGACGTCCATGTTTTTAATTCGTCTTCATCGAAATACTAATCAAGAAAGCGAAGTAAACATCAATGGCCATTTACCACTGCAATCTGTAGATGTTGGTAAGTTAATTAGATTTATTAAAAAATATATATTTTGTACTGATAATTCCCAACCCAATTTAAATTTGTTATCTTAGGTTAAAGACAACTAGCAATTAGGTTTTGAGCACCTATAAGAACTATACACCTTGGGTAAGATGGAAATAAAACATAGGCGTTTTGAATTTTAATTTACTAAAATAAACTAAATCATTTATTTATATAGCTGTCAAAGTTGCATTCGATTGATTAACGAAGACTTTATTTACTTTACAGAAAATTCACCGTATCCAGCGGGCCGTAAATAAAAGTATTGGAAAAATTGGCTATCGAAGATTGTGATATATACAAGTACCCCTATACTATAAATATTAAATATTTAAAAAACTAAAGAATTATCTTTTGTCTATGCTAGTTTTTTAATAGGGTGCAAGAAATTACTGGATTGGAATATAAATTGTGCCACTTGGCCATCATAAGCTTTTAATTATGTAAGTACATCATATAATTCAGCATATTTTACTTGCGTTAAGAATTACAAGAATAACAATTCTTCAGTAGTAAATTGTAGTATTATGTACATAAGAATAAAAATCTCGAGATGTATTTTTGTTATTACAAATTTGGGTTTAACACCCTTTTACCTTCTATATGTGATAGATTTATTCGTGAATAATTGGCAGCAGTGACTAGAATTAGCGATGTATATCATCAAAAGGTGCCTAATAAGGAATGTAAGAGTTGCGTGATATTTCTAATAAGATGGATTGAGAGTTGAGACCTAATGACAAATTAAATATATTTTTCATGTTTGACGAGTTATATATTATGTAGATAGATTTTCAGAATTTTACCTAGATGATGTAATATAGTTTATGGTTTGTTAATAAAAACGAAATATTAATTTAACGTTAGTATGTCAATTTGAATAGTTTTATGGAGCTAGCATTAAATAGGTACTATTTTATAAGAATCTCTGTCTTCATGATTGTAAAAAATATATACAAAGAGAGTAGTGGAAAAGATTATTTCTTCTTACATAATGTATTTACTGGCTCTGTTTAGCTGAAATTGTTAAAAAATATGAACACAAAAAGTTTCCGTCGATTATAAATAATATTGTCAAGTATTTTTATAAATTAGTTACATACTATGAAGCTGTTATTACAGTAATTGTTTTTAAATACCTTTAAAGTGTTAAAGAACCTGAGCATTTGTCACATTATCAGTTTAAACTTAATTTCAACAAAGTTTTTTTTTATTATTATTATAGATACTTGAAATTTTGCTGAATGCCTGGGTAAACCTGATATTTTCAGATAAATACGGTGTTCCATTCCCGATATCAGTAAAGGGGCATTGCTCTTAGCATTTGATAACGCTAAAATTTTTTATGCAAACAGACAATTTTGCATATTTAACTGGTGACTACTTGACATGCTGCAATAAAGTATTTTAATAAAAATAATATGGAATGTTAATATGAAATCGATAACCGCCCTGGCGAAATAGAAAAAAAACGTTAAAATATATCAGAAATATTTAAAAAATAACTTAAATATTGTAAGTTAGTAGACATATTTAAATATTCCTTTTACGAAGAGAGAATATCAGACATCTGTAAAACAAATCATTATCTATTTAAAGATTTTTACAATTATTGTGTCGGCTCTACACTCATTTATAATATTAATATACTATGATGCTATGAACATCGATCAATTAGAGTTTAATTCTATTACGTACATGTGGAATTGTGATATGCAATATTTACAGCAGATCGCTTGACATTTAGTTATTCGGTACAGATTCGATGAATTATTTATGCATTAATAATATTCAGGATTATTCACACTTATTCGCACTTAATAACCTACTTTGAATTAATTTAAGAAATGTAACTTCTTTCTTTATCAAAAATATTCAATTTAAATTAAATAACTTTCCGCTTACATACAGGGTGTAAAAAATCCTTTAACGAAGTCGAAAGCCACGTATTTTCTACATTATGACGATATTTTTTTTTTCTTCTGGACTGGGAATTTTATGGTTATGGAGATATTGAAGTTCAAAGTCATTTTTTTTAAAGATTTTTACATCAATATTTCCAAAACGTTATTCAGAACCTTTTTTATCGACGCACTTACACGCACGCACACTCATACACACAGGCATATTCATTGCGCCGCGCTGTACATTTTGTACTGTTTTTTTTTGTATTTTTTTAACTTAAAAATACAAATGATTCCCACATGTAATTTTACTTGTTTGGGTGTACAGAATGCGTAGTTTTAATCTTAAATAAAATGTGGTAGGATATTTTACCCATATAACATTGTGGTTTCAGTCTTGTACATGATCGTGCAATATGTGTTGTTTATACGTCTACCTATAATGCATAACCATTTACTACGTTACCATTATGAGTTCCTAATCGTTTAAGATAGTGTAATTATAAGTAAACATTTAATAAGTGTAGCTATATTTCATTAGAATTGATTCATTATTATAATAATTATACTTAGATTTATAAATATTTATCCAAATAAAAATTATGTACAGCGTTCAATTATCACAGCAATGGGGAAGAAAACTGACCATTATCACCGCCAGAGGCGCTAGTGTCGTATGGCCCACGACATCTGTCAAAATGGATAGATACAAAAAGATGTTGTTGGTTTGGTAAAATAATAATGGTAATAACTACTTTCCTAAAGATGAGCGACTGAAAAATAATATAAGGATAGGCTGTAAGTTTCGAAATAACAATTTTCAGTTTGATAAATGTCGTCAATTTTATGCCCTTGACGAATCCCAAAATTAAACTCTTACTCGATTCATAGCATAATATTATAAAATGTTGAAACTTGGGCTGAGCATGTTTATTTGAAAAAACTTGAAATATGCTGTAATTTAACCTGAAATTATTTGACAAACTTGTTTTTTAGTCTAAATTATCCGTTTTTGTTTACCTATTATGTTCACTTTATCCTTCTTATCCTTTAGTGTCCTCATCGGGTCTTCAACCCGTATTTTAAGTGTTTCGCAAACCTATTAGTATATTTTTATTAGTAACTAGCTGACCCGGCGAACTTCGTAGCGCCGTAGCGTAGCTTTGATGCACTACTTTATTTTGTATAGCTGACCTATCTTATGTATGAGTACCTATATTTTTAGCGCGGTTATGGATGTGTTGTCACAGATTACCACAGATTTTTTTGTTTTGAATAGAATGACGTTGACATTTGTCAGCGCGGTTATCGGTGTGGTGTCACAGATTACCACAGATTTTTTGTTTTAAATTGAATGACGTTGACATTCGTTACGTTATATTTTTCAATCTTTCTGAGAGATTTTCTTTATATTTTTTTCCGTAAGAACCTTGTACAGAGTATTAGAAAACTACAAAAAAAAAAACAGCCAAATCGGTCAAGCCGTTTTCATGTTATGTCGGGACAACGGAAAACGGGTTTAATTTTTATATATATAGATGATAAAACAATTAAGCCAAATTTCGCAAAAAAACCCGAACCAAATCGACAACTCAAAGTGACAGATTGATTAACCAGGTAATCCATATGTACAAACTATTTGTTTTTTTTTACAATATTACCTGGTAATCCATATATATGTATAATTTTTTTTTACTATCTATAACAGAATCTCAGCATTTCTAATGTGTCTTTTTACAATTCACTGTGGTTTATAATCTTATTTTTATTTGATTCGCTTTTCTTAACACTTGTCATAATATTGATTTAAACAAAGGTAAGGTAACACATAAAATAACACGTCATCAGTTGCTTGTAAACAATCAATACATTTTCGCATACCCACAATTAACATTTAAGGCTCAATTATGTCGCTAAATGTAGATAGCGAAGGCAGTTTAAATTGAAGCGCGGTTAAGGATTATTGTTATTAGTGTTTTGTTTATTATTATATACTAATTTAAATGGAACATGGGTGTGTATTTTTGCTTCTAGAATGCTCCTTAACAAAGAACGTATTGATAATCCTAGATTAATCATTTTACTTATTTTGTCAATTTTTCAAAAACTTTGCCCAAAAGCCCAGTTTTACATGTATACACAATTAATTGCTAGGCAAAATAAGTTGGTATAGTATTACTTGTATGACAATTCAATAATAGAAATGTATTTGACTAATATACTGTTAATATATTTGAATTATATAAACAAATATGTAGGCAATGAATATGTGGAATGTCTAAATAATCTTCCTTTTTGTTCATGTAAGTGAAGAAGAGTGAGCACAGGCCTGGAAGTACTTGTGAAATAATTTACACCACGCGAATCGGTGATAAGTTAGACAAAAGGCTTGCCGCTTCAAGGACAGGGTAGTATCGGAAAATATTGTAGACAGAATGGGAAGCTGCTACTCGCGTTAAGTACCTATATAACTAAGTAGTTAGAGTTGCTATAAATATTGTACATATTTGACGATTATTTAAAATCTACGTCTCTGTGATCTGTCGCATCATAAAGATACGGGTATTGTGAAATTACCTAATACACATGCGTTTGCCAAACAATATATTGTGAATAAATTTCAATCAAGGCTTATCAGTTTGATGACTAGATAAATCTCGTTTATAATCATTGTTGTTATTGGGAAGTTCAGTACATGATATATTACAAACTTGCTGTGGTATATAAATGCTTATATTGTAATAATGTCCAAATCCATTCATTCAATAACTCTTATATATCAATAAAAAAGTACTATGTGCAAATAAAGATACTACTATCTGTCGTCACTAGTTGTAAAGACATTAATGAGATGTTCTTAATACCAAAACATTAGTACCTACCTACACCTAACCGATAAGTAAACATAGTAATTGATAAAAAAGTACTAAGTTGCTTTTACATAGTTAAATTCATAATTAAAAAGTGATAGACAACAGATAATTCATCTCATAATACTTGCTGGCCCGTCTAGCCGTTATAAATATTAATGTTTTTTTTCATATTATGACTTTTATTATTTATTTATACGTGTAAACCGCTTAACCGAGACCTCGCCTGCGGGGTACAGGGTGTGGAGGAGAACGAGAACGGGGACCGTGAGAGGTGCGGGTGGCGGGTACTTTTGACAAGAATGTGTACATCTCACGGTGCTCGGTCCAGGCGAGGACTCAGTTAAGCGTTCTACCTATAGATAGAGCAATCCAAATAAATCACGCAAAGAAAACGGCTCCTATTTCGCGCAATGTCTGCGTGACACTAATGTCAGTTGTGCTTTAGCACGTTCAATGTGTCTGTTGTGTAGCTACAAGCATATTTACCATATGTAGTAGATATTTTTGTGCCGCTTCTGTGCCGTATCAAAGCAGCTAGGGTGTATATAAGCAAAGTATGTGACGAAGTGTAGTTCGATAACTTTGTAAGGTTTGTCTGCGACATTTTATTTTTTTTTGGGTCAAGGTAATTATTGCAGAATGTCGTTATTTACAATTATTTTAGGTCAATAAATGTATAAACACCAGTCAATTAATTCTTATATTAACAAATTCATACAGGCAGGAACCAATTATATTGATCCTGGCTGGTACGAATATGAAATGTGGTAAACTTCAACGTTGATATTAATTAAATAATAAAGTTACTTTTACTTATCCAATGATGTCGATTCTGACATGATTATCTAAACCTAAAATTAAATTTAACCACTGTCTCTCTCTTTCATTCTGTATAGAGAATGACAAGGATACAAATACTGTTGTCAAATTTAAGCTGAAGTTTAGAGAATCATGCCAGAATCGACACCAATATATATATGTATATATTTAACAACAACAAAAGTATAGTTATTATTTTAATTAACCAACATGGAATTGTACCGAATGCACCATTGACTGGCACCATTAATGGTGCAAATCAAACTGATCGGTTTGGTATGCAACATTAATATGAATATTGAATACTACTATTTGGGGGCGTCCATAAGTTACGTGAGGTTTTTTGAAATTTCTGCCCCCCCCCCCTGGTGAGATGTGAGATTTTATTCAACCCCCTCCCCCATCCCCCAATCTCACGTGAGATTTTTCAAAATGTGGGTTTCTTCCAACGCGTAAACGCGTTGGATTGTTATTGTAAAATAAAAAAATGATTCGTGGTTTTATTTACGACTAGTTATCAATATTGCTGACAGTTATAAGTTTAATAAAAAAATAACAATAGTTATTTTACTTAAATCATATTAATTTTAAGCATGTACAATCTGGATTAAATGGACCAAAATAGTATGATTGTTTTTTGTGTCAATCAGAAAATAAATTGTGTGATATTTGCCAACGTAAGATTAGATGAGATTTGCCTCGACCTCCTCCCCCCCTTAAACATCTCACGTAATTTATGGACGCCCCCTTTCTCCTTTCTTACGTAGTCATAAAAATGAATGTGGTAATTACATATAAACTACAACCCCTGGATTGTGTGTTGTGTGAAATAAAATTTCACTCGTTGCTATTTCGAAAATTCACTCCAGTTAGATAAAATTGTTAAATTAAATTATAACATGTAAAGAGAAATATCTAATTATATAAATGCATTTATAGTATTATGTATCATCACAATGCTACAAATGACACTATATGTAGGTACTGTGGTGCAAGTCATTTACACTTGGTAAAACGAAGAATTTTCTAACTTGTTGATCAAACGTTGTATTCTATTGACGACCTCCGTGGCCGAGTGGTTTGGACGCCGGGTTTCATGGTGTCGCCGACTCGAGAGGTCCCGGGTTCGAATCCCGGTGGGGGCAGAAGTTTGTGTGATGAATACGAGCATTTGTACTCCAGTCATGGATGTTTAATATGTATTTCTATATAAATATGCTAATATATGTTCAGTATATGTATTCTATCCGTTACCCTAGTATCCCATAACACAAGCCTTACAGTGCTTATACTTTGGGGCTAGGCTAATTGGTGTGAGTGTTGGAATTATTTATTTATTTATTTCATGGTGAATAATTGTCTTTTACCTTCATTTATTTTAAATAAATAAAATAGTGATGGTCAGTCTAATTGTATAATACCTAGTTAAATTCGCAACAAATAGGTAACCAATATTGAGCGATTTTTGTATGCACGTGTGTGGGTAAGATTTCTAGTTACCTAACCCTATTTAATTGTGCATTTAAAAATATTTTAATTTTGTGTTAGTACATATTTATATATTGCCAGCAAGTTACTCTGAGTATAAGTTTGTCACATTCCTCTACAATGTAATAAATGGTATTTATTAAAAAAATGTTTGACACGGGGTTTTGCGCTAAAAATTTTTTTCCTACGCCTGTGTTGATTCATACCTAAAAGATATTGACGTAAAATTTGCACATAATTATTAGGGCAACTATTACTTCTTTAAATTTATCTGAGAATTAAATATTATCTGTTATTACCGCTCAAAAATGTATTTACTTTAGAATTCTTTTATAATCTATATTTAGAAAATATTTTATATTCAACGAATGACAATCGACATTTTAAATTATTATACAATAATATTTAAGTAGAACTAAGTACCTACATAAATATTACTTACCTGGCATGGTCATTGGTTTATGTGGATTGTTTAATTAATTCAAATTAATTTTATATCCCAAAGTATATAAATAACGTTATCATGTAAGTTTATTAAAAATCATTGACCTAAATGAAATGTCGGTTCCTGTTATTCTTTTCACTTTTATCGATGACATTTAATTAGTGTTAAGAGTTGACGTTGTTGTCTCCCTTTTGAGGAACGAATTTGTATTCTACCTCATGTTCCTTTTATAACTATAAAAATTTACTTAATTATTATTTTGTGTTAACGTTTGATGATTGAAGCATTTATTGTATAATAGTGAGATCAGCAGCTGATTTAGTAAAAAAATAAATTGTGATTTAGAGATGTTTTTATTTATTTACCCACTTTTTGACGCCTACGTTAAGTGCGATTTTTTTTTAACTTTTTCATTATACCTAATCTACGCGTTGATTGGTGTTCGTATAAATGTTTCGCAAAGATTTATTATAATTTAAAATAAAATAAAATTTTATACCACCGTGATATCGTAATTTATGTTATTTACGGGATTGTTACCATGTACCTTGTTTTAGCGAGTTTCCGATATTTCGGCACTGTTGCAAGCGCCATGATCACACAATGGAGAATGTTCACTAATTTTAAATTTTAGCTTAATGCATTCCCTGTCAAAAATAAAAAATACGTGTGAAAAAAATATTTTGATATGTTAGTTAAATCCCGAGTTACAGAATTTAAAGTGAGCGCGCGACCGTTGGCCCGCGTTCACGCTGCGTGACGTCATTTTCCAACAGTCGCTCAGTCCGTTCGCTCGTGTCCGTATCGCTGCCATACGTTTCCCTAAAAATCATTGGATATGTCCAATCCTAGTTCTCGGAAATCCTGTGTAGTGCCAAAATGTACAAGTACTACTACGAAGACGCCGGAAAAGTTGTTTTTCCTAGTTCCAATGGACTTAAAAATACGAAATAAATGGTTAAATATCATGAAGAGGTTAGATCCCTTTGATGAAAAAAGCAAAGTTTATTGTTGTGAAGATCACTTTGACGTAAGTATCATATACTTTTACCTAGATATATATTATTTGTTATTTTGCTATTACTAAAAGTCCGTCCGTCTGTCTATTTGTATGTCTGTCTGTCACCAGGCTGTATCTCATGAATAGTGATAGCTAAACAGTTGAAATTTTTATAGACTTTTATGTATTTCCCCTTCGGCTATAACTAAGAGACATAAAGACATAACATAATAACAGAATAGAATACAACTAAAAAGAGTTTCATAAATTGGGTTTAATGTTATATAGATGAATGAATGGCACGGAACCGGAGAATGGTACCTGTTAGCTTTTGCCAGCAACTGTTTCTTATAAATTTGGTGAAAAGTTTATTTACTAGATTTTATTATAATGGGACTGAACGCGATATACATTTTTAGTATTCTTTTTTGTTTTAGATTGAGAATGATATGGAGAACTATATCAAATATAAGCTGGTTGGAGGAAGGATTAAACTTAAAAATGGAATAGTTCCTCACAAATTTAAATGTCAACAAGAACATAAAGATAAACCCGAGAGATCTGCTGTGAAAAAACGTGATCGAATAAAATATTTCGAGAAATTGTTAAACAAAGACGAAATTCCGAAGTTAGATTTAACTGAAAAACCTGAAGAAATATTACTTGCCTGCTGTCCAGACGAAACAGGATTAGAAGATCCCTTAAGTTTTGCAAATAATGGTCAGCCTTTGGTAATATCAAAAAAAAAATAAGGGAGTGCAAGCAAATCTGAAGGATAAAGGTGTCCATAAATCTACCATGACTGACGGAAAATATTTTGAGAAAGTAGGTAAAATAATATCCGATCCAGAAAAAATATCAGTTTATACTACGAACGACACATGTTCTAACGCCTCTTCTCATGAAATGTATAAGTTCGATCAACATTCAAATAATCTTGATGAAGACACAGATACAGAGAACTCAGAAAATGAAACACATCTCTTTAGAAACCATATGCAGAAAGCTGCTCTTTTATCTATATCTAGAGAGCCACAACTGTTATTAGGTTTACCTAAAAAATGTTATTTTTGCATAAACCTAATATCTGAAACAACAAAATGTACTCCACGAAATATAATGATCACTTTAAAAAAAATACGTTTATATCAAGCTAATGCCATTCTGGCCTTAGATTTTGGCTTGGGAACGAGTACTATAACTAAAATTATAAGAAAAACTGTTCCCGCTGTTGCAGCTTTTCTTAAATCTCTTATATACTTTCCACCTTCATCCGATGTCCAGATGAATCAACCTATACCATTTAGGAAAAACTACAGTCAGGTTCAAAGCATTATCGACTGTTTTGAAATTCAAATTGAAAAACCTATAGATGCCGTGAAGCAAGCTCTAACATGGTCTGATTACAAAAGCTGTAATACCATAAAATATTTAATTTCCATAACACGTGATGGGCTTATAAATTTTATTTCTTCAGGTTATGGGGGCAGAGCAAGCGACTCTTTAATTTTTGAAGATTGTGGAATTTTAGAGACACTGCCTGAAGGGTCAGCTGTATTAGCCGATAGAGGCTTTAAAAATATTGCGCATTTAATGCTACAAAATGGTCATACTCTGATTAGACCTCCTAGCGTGAGCGCAGTAGTTAAACCGACTAAGAAAGAAGTTTTACAAACAAAAAAAATTGCAGCGTTACGAATACACGTTGAAAGATCTATCGGCAGATTAAGAGGTTTTCAGTTTATGCTGCCGCACGCTTGTGTAGAATTAAAACAAGTCGACATGCTAGATTTGGTTGTAGTTTCTGCATGTGGAATAGTCAATCTTCAAAGCAGTATGTTTAAAGAATAAGAACCCAGTGTGTAAGAAAAGGAATGTATTAAAATTAAATTACAGTGTAAACTCTATATAACGAAACTAAAGGGCCTGTACATTTTATGGGGTTATTTGGCAAATTTCTTAGAAAGTTTGATTTGTATGATGCCGACAGTCGAGTTTATTACGGGCTAGGATAATAAAGCGACAAAAGGACAAAAGAACGTACACAGCTGCACGATGTTCACTAATTTTGGCAACTTAAAAAATACTTTTTATTACTTAATTGTTGTCGTTATTGAAATCGAGTGACGTTACATGGAGTTTACACTGTATTTCTAAAACAATATTAGGTCATGACAAACAAAATCACAACATATAGATATTCAAACTATTAAATATTTACTGCCCCGTAGTATTTTTTACGATTTTAATAAAACTTACTATAGAACAAATAATAAGAAACAGTTATAATTTTATGTTATTTTATTAAATTGACAAAAATATTTTCTGTCCAAAACATTACTGCTTTTTTAAAAAGGTCTTCACAATATTTGTCATCATAAACTACCTCGTGCACATCAACATTCTTTGAGGTTTCAAAATCAACGTGTGCAATACAAAATAGGGCTTTACTCTTTCCGGTAATTTTCATTTGTGTTTGTATCTGAGCATAATATTTATTACCTAGTTTACCATTATTATAATACGTATTAAAAGTGTTTTGCTTCATGGGACACTTTATTTCTACAACGTAGTCGTCAGTAAGCCCGTCAGGCGAGGCACCAATCATAGGCCACTTATTATTAAGAAAAAGACCTGATCCCATTATTGCAAGATTTTTTACTCGTGAGACTTCCAAAATTACATCTTTTTCTAAGAATTTTCCTCTTTTGATAGCAGAAGTTTCTTTAAATGTTACAGCACCAAATATTTCTTCAACTAAAGAGCCATCTTTTGTTGTACAATGAGCAGCTTCGTGTATTTTTGAAGCTGTTATACGGCCGTAGCGCATCTCAAACCACAAATTTGAATCTGATTGAGTTATTGTACCCTTATTTACTTGTAGACATCTTGATTCCGTCATTTCGTTATAACAAAATGTTATAAAGGTCTTAACGTCATGATTCATAAAGGATTTTTTGAATAGATAAATTAAATAATGTATGGACATCTTTTTTTTCACATACATAATGTGAAAGTGAGCACTGTATATCAAGGTCTCTAAGTTTTGATGCTATTTTGTCAAAAACAACTTTTTCGTTCTGTCGGAATTCATGACATGTTGTACCAAAGTCTGCAGCCTTAATAAATTTCAGTGTAGTACCTGTTATAAACACTCTTAGGTTTTCTATTTGTATGATTAATATACTTTACATAATGAGTGAATAATTGTAACTATAATTTAATATTCGATGACTTAAAAGTATTCGTTTAGTCTGTGGCGCTGCGTTCGTGCTCTGTGAGTGCCCCACCAATGAAGTAGCGATCGTAACGTGGCGGGGAGGGCACTATATATGGGCAGAACGCAGCGCAGACAGATGACTGCGAGCATTCAAGTAAGACAGATGTCTAGTGGAAACTATGCCAGTTTGATATTAGAAAAGTAATTGCAAAGAAACTTGTAATATTGTATGTGATATACCTATGTGAAGTACGAGAAATAAAATCGGAGTTAACTATCTGAAGTTGTTTGATTCCAACAACTTCAGAAGTGGGATAACGAGAATTGCAACGAATAAAATTCTCGTTCTACGCCCATGTAAGTAATGATGTTATAATTTTATACAGGATTTTATTTTATTACGTTGTAACTATTTCGTCATTTTTTTTTCCATATACCCTCCTACATTTTTTTTTCATTTCAATTGCTAAACTCGGCAGAGGCATTGCACTCATTTTGAATACGTTTCATTTTGCCAGGGCTACTCTCTGGGAACGGAACGTGTTCAATTTTATTGGGAATTATTCGAATTGCGGTCCTGTTTTTTTTGATTGGCTTACATTTTGCCAGGGCTACTCCCTGGATTTGTGAGGCGGTTGATATCTCGGGATTGAATTCTAATTGCAACGCCCCTATAGTGTGCATGCTTATTTTTTTTTTATTGCTAAACTCCACGGAGGCATTGCACCCATTTTGAATACGTTTCATTTTGCCAGGGCTACTCTCTGGGAACGGAACGTGTTCATTTTATTGGAAATTATTCGAATTGCTGTCCTGTTTTCTTGATTGGCTTACATTTTGCCAGGGCTACTCCCTGGATCTGTGAGGCGGTTAATATCTCGGGATTGAATTCGAATTGCGGCGTCCCTGTGGTGTGCATACTTACGTTTTTTTACCTCGCTGGTAAATCTATGAAGATATAGGGTAGATTAAAAATGCTTTAAAAATGCTAAAAATCTCTGAGCTTACTTTCTTGCTATTCCCTCTAGATACGAAAGAGCGATATCATTGAGCTTGTGGCTATTAGTAGCATAGAAAATAAGATAGCTTTATTTTTTTTTTACTGCGCGTTAAGTGGTGAAGGATTACCTAGTAAGTGTGGGTCGTTCATTCTTCTAGGCCCCTGGTAGTAATATATAGAACCTTCAGTGAACCTACCTACTTACAGTGAAATAAAATTGTTTGGATAACATTGATTCTTTTGTACCGTCATTATCTTAGTAGTGTTTACAAGATAGTCATTATGGAGTGGTCCGTAACACCACCTGCATATTAGGCAGTATGGGTTCGAATCCTTAT